TTCCCACTCCCACATCTTCAGACCCAATTGAATATACAGGGACTGAGAGAGACTTATATACAAAAGGTGACCTTACATAACATCAGGTCAGGTCAATAACATGGGATCCACTATACACCAAAATGTTTTTAGGGCATGGAAAGTTTTGCAAATAAATATTTGGCATGAGTATGGGTAATTGTCTTTCTGCTGGTGACTCACACTGGCTGCGAATTCGGTATTGGTGAAGCCAGACACTTTATATATAGATATTGGTTGATACCCAAACAATTAATAGAAACAGACATTGAAGCTATATAACATGTATATAAAACATATATTACTGTATACTGGTAGTTCATAATATAAGGGTCCATAATTACACAGTTGATAAGTGTACGACTTGCATTATAATGTTACGTCATTCTTTTGTTGACAGACATATAACTGAATTCAGTACTATGAGGAATAAAGGTAATATCAAAGGGAACATTCAAACTTGTGATTATGCTTTGTCATGATCTGACATAAGAAATATTATCTTGTATGAGGTCACTTCACCTTCATCAGTCAGATCAAGCGAGGTCTGTTTAAATACTCTATTGTGTTTTGTCTGGTCCCCACGTGTGTGTTCCCTCACACACTTCCACCTGGTTCAGTTAGTGTGGCCAATACTCTCTCTCTATGATGTGTGAATCTTGGGAGTATCGAAACATGAATCTGAAGCGCCCACGAGTGAGGATGATTGGGGCCGGCGTGTGAGGGGTTGACGGGGTACAGGGGTAAACTTCCTTCAATTTTATTAACCACCAGTTCGATGGTTTCATAATCCAGGTCAAATAATGCATTTGGTTGGAAGTTATAGTCTATTGATACTTTGACTCTCAGTGTCAGTATATGTTAAAAGTGAAATACTACGAAAGCCAACTATGCTCTCTCTCTCTCTCTCTCTCTCTCTCTCTCTCTCTCTCTCTCTCTCTCTTTCTTTGTTGTTAAATGTAGAGCACAGTCTTTCAGGCAATATATTGATTGTGGGAAGTCCGATAAATCAACATTAAATACTGTATGTAGCCTTGGCTTAAATGCTGATAACGTTAGGCCTCCGTGTGTGTTGAGTCCCTTTATGTGTAAAATTGTCACTTGAATCCCAATTTGGATTTAAGTGAGCTTGGAATACTTCCCTAGTATGTAGCAACACATTCTACTCCTAATATATTTTTCTAATTTAATACTGCCTGGTAGCTGCGAAAGTCCTCTTACCGGCCTAAGCCATATCCCTCTTTAACACCTGTACCCTCTCACCCCTTCACACACCGATCCCTGTTATCCCCCGAACCTTACCCCTTCTCCTCCTCTCTCGTGAGCGCTTCGAAATCAGTACTTCGATACTCTCTGGATTCACACGTCATGGAGAAAAAGGATTGGCAAAACTAACTGTACCCGGTGGAAGTGTGGGTGACTGTACATAAGAAGAATAGCTACATAGTTTGTATCAGTTGTAAGGAACTATTTCCTGATTAGCTGGTAGGTATTGGCCAGAGTTGAACGTGTTCTTTCAGTTTGTTTAAGGGTAATATCTAAGATATTATGCCATACTCTATCATGTCTTCGAACATTGAAAGGAATCTAGACCGGGAAACTGGGTTATGAAGTTGATTCGTCATTCTTTCTAGGTGTTCTTCCAAAAATTTCTGGCCCTTTGCTTTAGATAGGTCTAGTGCCTCTGAGGACTCACTGACCACTAAAGGAAGAATCATAATTCCAATCAGAAGACCAAACAGGTTCTTATTATGATATTCCTGACGAAGTTCCTCAAGAGTGAAGGGCACAGGGGCCCCGGCATTCTGCAACACCTTGGTGAAGGAGTCATGATAAGTTTTTAAGAAGGTTTGTAGGTTGTCCTTTCTATTGGGGCCCTCGAGGCTGGTGTATGTGAAGTAGTTTAAGTCGGTGGCTGGTGAAGATTTGCGACATAGCTGGAAGTCCAGTAGCCTTACATCGACTGGAACACCTGCCTTGTCGTACCTGAAATGGATATTTATGGGCAGCACTTTTACACTTCATTACAGTTGTTTATGCTATTTTAGCTGTAAAATTTACTCCCTCCCCCCTAAATATCATTTCTAACTTACTGAAACACCAACCGACTCACTCATTGATGGACTCCTGGATGAATTACTTTATTAGGGCTCATCCTCCTTGAATATGAACGAATCATGTTCACTTTTGTTAATCCCTGACTGTACTGTAGATCCCCAAATTTTCCACTTAACACAAATAGATAAAAACAAAATTATGCATTGTAAAATTTGCGATACTGTACGTTTTAGTAAAAGATGATAAAAAAAGAACCTGTTTATTAATTCATAGAAAGTAACAGTTGAATAATGCAATCAATTGATGTGTAAGTGTGTATCTTCTTTGATAGATCAACATTGATGAACTTTACAGATATTATATCAAATGATGAAGCATCAATGGATAAAGCCAGAAAATTAAAACTATTTTCTTTGTTAACCTGAAGCTACTTAATATAACTGTGAAAATAAGAAAACGATTAAATGTTAAACATTTTCAACAACTTACACATGTCAGTATCAGATAATAAGTTAGGTGCCTTATCCACATATGCTGGGTAATTGCGAATTGCAGTTTTTCCTCCCTTCGTGATAACAATGTAATTATCATTTTCTTATTTTACACATATCTATTTGATATTGTTTTGGTAATCCATTATAATCTTTAAAGGCGTCCATTTATACCTTATATCAGAATGCCTATTTTGAAAATTAAATCTTCATTGTAGCTGCTAGCGGCCATACGCATACGTACAGGGTGATTCAGCAAAGAGTACATTAAATTGGAGGATGAAATCCTTGGATAGTTCTAAACCACAATGTCTCTATGGTAAAATGTCAGATTCTGCATAGTTTCTATGTTACAATACATTTAAGATGTTGTATTAATGAGAGTGAATTTGGTGTGAAACCCTCGTAGGGTTTTGTAATCATTTATTCACAGATCTCTACAGTGTGACCCCTCTATGTTACAACCTAAAGGAAATGTTCAAAGTTGCCCCCTACTGCCTCAATGTCTGGACTATGTTTAATTTGCTCGCACCTGTCACAAACACGTGGGCATATGCAGAATCTGACATTTTACCATAGAGACATTGTAGAATTATTCAAGGATTTATTCTTCCAGTTTAATGTACTCTTTGCTGAATCACCCTGTATATCTATCAGAAGCTAATACATACTCAAAGGCATTATACTTGACGGGTTGCAAGGAACAATCAAGTAATTCTGTTTTGGTTTTACTGATTGCGGCTAAAGCAAATTATCATAATATCTCGGATTCCACCGCTCATAAACACTCACTAGAAAAAAAAAACTTACCGTCAACCCAACAATGTTTAAAAAAATATGTTTTTATTATTTACCCAAAAATTATGAAGTGGGGCCAAACTTGTAGTTTATACCTTATTGTGTAATGGTTGTGATAAAGTGTACAGTACAGTTGGTCAGACAGGGAGGGTCTTATCCTGCAAGGTTAGTTGAACATAAAAATGACATAAGATATGCCCAAGATAATTCAGCTGTTAGCAAGTTAGGTCACACCATTAACTGGAATGATTCGTCCATATTTTACGAATCTAAGCCCCGATGTGGGTCTGTGACCTGTGCCTGGCTGGGTGGGTTAATCCTTGCCCCCCCTCCCCCCAAAAAAAAACCTTGAAAATTTTCAGAATTTTAACGTTTAAGAACATAAGAATGGAAGAAACTGCCTGTGCAGGGCAGCTCTTGTTGAGAGTTACAGCCACTCTCTATCGTCCATGAATCTATTTAGCCTCTTTTTAAAACTTTCCAGCGTCCCAGTACTTACTACAAAGTTGCTAAGCTTTTTCCACTCGTCTACCACCCTATTTGTGAACCAGTTTCTTCCTATCTCCCTCCTAAGCCAAAACTTATCCAACTTAAATCCGCTGCTACGAGTCCTATCCTTCTCTTATAAGAACTTTATCTATATCTCCTTTATTGATTCCTTTCACTCCCTTAAAGACTTCTATCATATCTCCCCACACTCATCGTCTTTCTAGGGAATGCAAGTTTAGTGTCTTTAATCTATCTTGACATGGAAGGTTTCTAAGTCCCGGAATCATTTTCGTCATTCTTCGCTGTACCGACTCCAGTGATTTGATATCTATTCTATAATAAGGGCACCGGAACTGAACGGCATAGTCGAGGTGCGGCCTGACAAGCGCAAGATATAATTGCATTATGACCTTTGCATTCTTATTACTCACACTCCTAGATATAAAACCTAATACTCTGTTTGCCTTATTTCGAACATTAGCTCACTGTTTCCTAGGCCGTAGGTCCGGGCTTACAAGTACCCCTAAGTCTCTTTCGCAAGTCGACTTCTCTAGGTTGATATTGTTAACATTGTATACATTAACAGTATTTGTTCTTCCAATATTAAGTATGCTGTACTTGCTGGTGTTGAATTTCATTTACCATTTTTCTGACCACTCCTGCAGTTTATTTAAATCGTCCTGTAGTGCATTTGCATCCTGTCCTGAATTACTCTGCCGCCCTATTTTGGTGTCATCCGCAAACTTGCTAATGTCACTACTGATCCTAGTATCTAGATCGTTTATATAGATTACTAGCGGAATCGCCGCCCTCCGGGCGGCTCTTTCGCTAGGCCAGGGTAGGACACTACCCTCCGTGAGGCTCCACATTGTCTCACTGTAGTGCATTAAGGTAGACCACATTTTTGGTTTTGCCATTAGCAGCAAGTATGTACAGATTTTTGCCAGTTCCCACTCTGGAGCATCCAACATAGAACTGTCCATGGAAGAAGCAAGGAAACACCAGGCTTAGGTCAACCATCGTTAGGAACTGTCCCTGGCTTTTGTAGATGGTCATGGCAAAGCTCACTTTAACCGGGAACTGAAGTCGCTTGAACTCAAATGGCAGGTCAGTGGTGATGAGAGGTATCCTTGGTATAAAAACGTCCTCTCCTTTAGCTTTTCCTGTCAGTATAGTAGCTTCCAGTACATGTGGCATCATGTTCTTCACCACCAGTCTTGTGCCATTGCAGAGGATTGGTGGTTCAAGATTTCTTAAGAGCATTATAGGAGTTCCAATCTTGAGAGTGAGGTGGTGAGGAGGCATTCCAGCGGGCTCTAAAGAATTAAGGAATTCTGCAGGGTACTGGACTGCTTGGTCCTGGTCGATTACTGTATCAACAGATTTGAATGAGGTCTCACTGCCTGGAAGCTGTCTCAGTAGAGTCATGTTGATTTCAGCCTCTGTTTTATTCTTTGGTGCCAGAATTGCGCGTTCACGCAGCCACTTGTGATCCTTGTAGTGGTGGATAATGTTTGGGTAGACCATGTTAGTGAGCTCAGTTGAGGACTTTACAACATTTCCACATCCTTAAGGAATGATTATTTGTCCTTCTGACTAAACAGGGAAAGTTCCATTCCCAATCTGTAGTAGAAGGTTTGCAAATCGTCCAGCATCCTGATCTCCTTGTAGATGTACCCTCATGTTTGTGGATAGGGTGGGTGTCTGAACACTTCTCGAAAGGTATGATGCCTTGAGGCATTCATCCCAAACGATGTGCTGCATTTTTCTAAGAGTTTTGCCTTTTTTGATGTTGCACACTGGATTCTTATTGTGAGCGAGGTTGAGAGGCGACCTGGGGTCCAATGGTGTTGTAGTGAACGTGTAGTATGGGTGTTGTAGTGACTGTGTAGTACTGGTGTTGTAATGAACGTGTAGTACGGGTGTTGTAGTGAACGTGTAGTAGTATATATAAGGATAAAATTACCTATAATACGTGGGATGTGACACGACTTTTCAACCTCTGTGTAGTTTAACGGGTCGGGTCGGGTTGGGTGTGTCGGATCGGATTGGTTGGAGTTTTTTTGAGATCCCCACATGACACTTGCTTTCCGTGCCAAGTTTGGTTCGGGCGGCTCATTCGCTAGGCCACGGTAGGACGCCACTCTCCGGGAGGCTCCACATTGTCTCACTATTCAGTTCCCAAAACTTCTTCTTCCATCAACAGTTCATTAACGGTGTATGTAAGTTCCACTACAACGGTACAGCAAAGTATATATTTTTAGCATTAAACTGTTATTATTTTATTGTCTAATCATCACTACATATAACACCATCCATCATCACTACATATAACACCACCCATCATCACTACATATAACAACATTCATCATCACTACATATATATATATATATATATATATATATATATATATATATATATATATATATATATATATATATATATATATATATATATATATATATATATATATATATATATATATATATATATATATATATATATATATATATATATATATATATATATATATATATATATATATATATATATATATATATATATATATATATATATATATATATATATATATATATATATATATATATATATATATATATATATATATATATATATATATATATATATATATATATATATATATATATATATATATGTATATATCTGTGTACTAAGTAATAGTGCACAGTCGGATACAACAAAGTTGAGCAAAGTGAAGAAAATTTGGTCAAACCTGGCTAGATGTCAGCGCCACGGATGAATCTCAGTGTCGTTTTTAACAGAGTTCTATCTCTCATAATCTTGAAGACCAATAATAACATTATAAAGTCAACGACCGTTTGTGCCACTCACAGTTCTCTTAGAGTATCTAATACTTTCACTTATAATATTTTGTGAATTAATTTTACACTATTCTGATTGCAACTTTCATATTATTCCTCTTGATTCTTTTTATTTTCAAAATGAGACAAAATAACTAATACATTCTTACTGACACACACACACACACACATGCAGATAAACATATTACTTTCTGTCATCTCGTACATATGATCTATTCAGATATTGTAAGTACCCTAAACAGTTTCTTCTCACATTGCTGATCGTGGAAACGTTGATCCACGTACCTTCCATTTACAACACACAGTGCTTGATGTACTTTACTGTACCTGAAAGGATTATTCCACCACATTTTTCTACATGCATCCTTAGTGCATGGGAACTATGCGCGTTTTCTCTCTCTGATGCGCTCCATTCTGCCATATAATCTATTGATGTTATCTATTCAATCATTGAAATTTTCATATTTTACATTTCGACAGTGATTCTATCCATATTTCTCACAATCTTGTAATCTTTTTATATTAAAGTTATTTTCATTTATTTAAACGGCTTTATTATTTTACTTACTTGTTTTGGGTATTGATTCTGGCTCTCTTTAAAACTTTATACGAAGCTAATTCTTCTACTTTAATTCACACTAACTTCGTTTTAATTTCTATATATCCCTTTGTTTTTTCATCATTCCACACTTTCAGCTTATATTCACGTGGACTCCTTCATTAGCTGTACTTTTTAGATTTGCTCTCGTTACACTGCCCTCATTCTTCTTCAACCCTCCCCACATGCAACTATTTTCTTTCAATCATTATTTAAGATTATTCAGCCATGTTTACTTTCCTTATCTTACCAATTAATTCAGGTATCCTTCTAATTCTTTGGTTATCTTGCGTTTTTTACCAGCCATTCCCTATTATTATCTCTTCTAGTGCTGTAGCTCAATGTTTCTTCAGCATCTCCTTTTTCATAAATCTCATTGCAATTATGATTGTTGAAACACCTCATTCATCTTTAATTACTCTTTCTGGTAACAAGAATACACGGGATGTAGCTACGTGTCCCACTCCCTTAAGATTAGCTACAACTCAGCAATATATATTAATATCTCATGAAGAAAGTTGAGATTGGTCTCATGTATAATAACTGAGAGATTTAGCAAAGATTTCCCAAAGTGAAAAACTGTGGAGTGGAACTTCATAGACACCTTGTAGCCCAGATTTAAACACTGCGATAACATTTTTTTGTGCTTTTTGAAAATTCGGCCGCATCGCGTTGCAGAATTGAAGAAAGGATTAGTACTACATGCAATACTGTTGATGAAGACCTGTAACGTATAGTGATAAGTATTTAGCGACTCTGTTGGAAGCGATACAAACACAAAATGGTTATCACAAAGAACATGTAATGCACGCCCAATTTTCAACGTAAACAAGAAATAAACATGCCATCAGTTATTGGCTTACCTTCTATATCTACCAGCAGATACCCGCTCTCCAGGGGACACCCTCTTTCCTGTTTTTTTTTTTTTGCCCGCATATCAGTAAAACATGCCTTAATGTACAATCTCTCGTGTACTGCATACGGTACTAACTTGACTTGTGTGAATTAAATATTTGCTTACGAATTTACTAATAACAGCCACACATAGTATGTCGTGGATAGACACAACTTTTCCTTGTAGGTAGTAGACAGAAACTTAAGTAAAATGTTGACTTGGCAATATATGGTACATTTTGTTTAGTACACCGAAGATCAAATTCTGTAAAAAAATGTTGTATTTGATCGAAAAAAAGCGAGCAAAGTACTTGGGTTCATACAAAGGACTGTTAGTTACAAGACTAGCGAGGTCATCCTAAAACTATATCTTGCGCTTGTGAGACCTCACTTGGATTACGTAGTTCAGTTCTGGTCACCATACTACAGAATGGACATAGAATCCCTAGAAAGAATTCAGAGGAGAATGAAACGATTAATTCCGGGCATTAGGAACCTTGAGTACAGAGACAGATTAAAGAATCTTAATTTGCACTCTCTCGAGAAACGTACAGTAGAGTGAGGGGCGAGATGATCGAGGTGTATTAATGGAAGTCAGGGCAAAATAATATAACAAAGGTACTCAAACTATCCAACCAGGAGCGAACTCGTTACAATCGTTTTAAATTAGACAACTTTAGATTTAGATTTTAGAAGATTTTAGAAGATAGCTTCAAACATAGGTTGGATGGATATATGAGCGATAGGGGTTAGGTGTAAATGGAACTGCCCAGTATGGGCCAATAGGCCAGCTGCAGTTTCCTCCATTCTTATGTTCTTATGTTCTTATATGTGCATGTCATATAATAATTGACGTATTCTGCAACAAGGACGAAGAATTTTAATGAAACTTTGCAGCAACAAAACAGAAATTCGTTCAAACCTGAACAAAATGTTGTTGTTCCAGCAGTCGCCATGACACAATACATCAAATGGTGGAGTCTTCTTCACCTGTTCCTTGAAGACATCATTTGCCTTTGGTCCAAAGTCTTTGAGCCATTCGACAACGTTATTGTAGCCACCTATTTTTTCTATCATTCTCGCCGACATAAGAGCAAATTTCTGAAACATAGTCGGTTTGTCATTCTCGTTGTCGGTAAGAGAAGATAAGTCTTTCTGAAGATATTTATACCTAACATCTAAATCTTCCGGTGTTTTTGCTTTAACTAACAACGAAGCGGCGTGAAGTGTTGCTAACTCCTTCAACACCAGAATGGAATGAGCCTTGTCCATTCCTTTCTGACGACTAAACATCTTGAAAGCCTCAAGACGTAAGTCTCCAAGGATTATTACTTCTTCGCCCTTGACCAAATGGACAAAGTGGCACTGAGCTACCCGCAATGGTTCATGTTTAATACGAATCAGCTCGGTGTTGAGTAGTGGTAATAAATCTTGGTAAAATCCAGCTTCCTTCTCAAATGCCATATGGACAAATTCATCGAGCGTTGCATGTTGTCTACATGGGTTACACTTGGCAACATATGTGGCTTTATGCTCACTTCCTCCCTGGCGATAAGTTACTTTTATACTTGTCACAACACAGGCGTAGTTGTCTCCTTTTATGGTAAAGTCTTCAACTTTCCAAGAAATTAATTGTGCATTACTACCCTTGTCTGCCTCCAGCGCTGATTTCACGTGAGTCTCCTTTATGAGTCTCTGTGACGCCTGGGTAATGAAGTCTTCTTCCTTGCCGTTCACTGTAAAAAAAAAATATATATATATATATAAATATGTATATTATTCAAGTGGACTAGTATTAAATTAATATACGAAACTAAATAAATAAACATGAACGAAACGCACGCTTGTCACACCTTAAGCGCCACCCCCCTCCCCCCCTCATAGCCTGTCTTTGGCCCTATATAAGGAAAACCACGCCGACCTGCCCCAAGAAATTAAACCTCCTAGTTCTCAAGAAGTTCTTTGAAACTAATGAGATCGTGGGGGTCACCAAGGTGGAACGACTGAAGATCTATGGTGACATCAAGATCACCTTCGCCGAGAAGGGTATGCCCGTACAGCTCGCGGAGATCCCAGACATCAACGTCATTCCATTTAAAATGATTGCCTACAAGTGGGACAACCTGAAGCTGGGTGTAATCTCCCACGCCGAAATTGCCCACGTGGACCAAGCAGAGCTGAGTGAGCTCCTCAAGGGGCAACTCCAAGTTGTGAAGATGTTGTCCGACACCACTGCCCTCATCGGACACCATACAACCTTACCCAAGGAGGCTCAACTGGCGTGGGTAACTGTGCCAGTGAAGCCCTACTGCAGACCGAAACGCTGTTACAAATGCCAGCACTACGGACACACTGTCAACAAGTGTGAGGCGCAGGAGGACACCTGCTCCCTGTGCGGCAGCCCCGGACACCGCTACACGGTCTGCCCCAACACAGTAAAAAAATGCGCTGCCTGTGGCGGCCCACATTCCTCCGCCGATCGGACCTGCCCGAAATGGAAGGAGGAATGCAGGATAGCCAAGGCTCGACTCGATAAGAAACTGAGCTCCCAAGACAAGAAAAAACCAGCAGAAAAGAAAAACAAAGAAAAGAAAACTCAAGAAAAGACACCCGCCACACAGAATCAAGAACACCACGAGGCCTGTGGAGCTGAAGCCCACGTGGTCAACCTCACCATCTCCGACTTCTTCCACACCTATGAGGACATAAGACACGCGGAAGACGAACAACAAGACCCAAACACGAATGAATGGAAACTTCAAGAGAGCAAGAAGAGGAGGAGAGTTAGAAGAAAATCTACATCAAGCTAAGAAGAATACCAAGACAGAAGACCAAGACATTTCCTCCACACAAGAAAACAGCACACACAGCCCATATGGCAGGAAATGAGTAGGGCAGCAAAATATAACAACCTATACATTATGGGGGATTTCAACTTCAGAAATATTGACTGGGACAACATTGTAGGCGACTATGAATCTGAAGACTTCCTAGACGCAGGACAGGACAATTTTTTGAAACAACTAATTACAGAACCTACTAGAGGTGACAATATATTAGACCTAGTATTAACAAATAAAGAAAATATTATCAGAGATATCACAGTAGGGGAAGAACTAGGTAACAGTGATCACAGAGAAATCAGGTTCACCCTAAATTGGGAAACGAAAAACAATGACAATATGGTCAGAGTCCCAAACTTTCGGTGGGCGGATTATCAGGGGTTAAGAAGGTACCTAGGTGAGGTCACCTGGGAACAGTCACGTCAGTCCACAGTAGGAAGGGGTGAGGTCATGGATGACACAACAATTGATCATGACTATAAAATATTCACTAGTATACTACATAAAGCACAATAACAAAATATACCATACAGAAAAATTAGGTCAAATAAGAATGAGCCAAGGTGGATGACCAGAAAACTTAAACATGACATAGGAATAAAGAAAGGAATATATAAGAAATTAAAGGGAGGGGAGGAGCAGCTCAGAAACAGGTATAATGAACTATCTAGGAATGTTAAGAAAAATGTAAGGAAAGCAAAGAGAGACTATGAAATCAAAATAGCAAGAGAATCCAAGGCGAATCCCAAGGGATTTTTCCAGGTATATAGGACAAAGGTCAAGGACAAAGTTGGGCCTTTAAAGTCAGGGAGGGGAGAAGTGATAAATGTCAGTGAAGAAATAAGCAAAGCATTGAACAGCTACTTCTTATCAGTTTTCACAGAAGAAATTTGCGATGAAATTCCAGAGGTGGAACTGATATTTAAGGGAAAGGAAGAAGAGAAATTAAAGAATATCACTGTCAGAAAAGAGGATGTTCTTAAGAAGATAAATAAACTAAAGAAAACAAAATCCCCAGGGCCGGATGAAATTTTTCCTCGAGTCATGAAAGAGTGTAGGGAACAGATTAGCGGACCCCTCGTAAACTTATATACAAAATCATTAGACACTGGAGTTGTGCCAGACATGTGGAAACAGGCAAATGTAGTACCCATATTCAAAAAGGGAGACAGAGCATCAGCGTCAAATTACCGGCCGATCAGTTTGACGTCAGTAGTGGGGAAATTTTTTGAATCAATTATAGCAGATAGCATCCGATCGCATCTAGAGAAAAGCAAATTAATCTACGACTCTCAACATGGATTTACAAAGGGAAAATCTTGTCTAACAAATCTGCTAACGTTTTTTAGGAAAGTCTTCGCGGTAGTAGATAATGACGAAAATTACGATGATAAAATCATGGGTCGTCGACAGAACGCAGAGGGTCAGCGTAGATGGTGTTAAATCTGGAGGGGGGGCTGTGGTAACCAGTGGGGGTTCCCCAGGGTCAGTACGGCCCAAACCTTGTTCATAATCTACATAAACGTTTCTAGATACTGGGATCAGCAGTGACATAAGCAAGTTTGAGGATGACACCAAAATAGGGCGGCAAATTAATTCAGGGCAGGATGCAAATGCATTACAGGAGGATCTAAATAAACTGCAGGGGTGGTCTGAAATGTGGCAAATGAAATTCAACACCAGCAAGTGCAGCGTACTTAATATTGGAAGAACAAATACTTATAATGTATACAGCCTTAACAACATCAACCTCGAGAAGTCGACTTGTGAAAGAGACCTAGGGGTACTTGTAAGCCCGGACCTACGGCCTAGAAAACAGTGCGTTAATGTTCGAAATAAGGCAAACAGAGTATTGGGTTTTATATCTAGAAGTGTAAGTAACAAGAGTGCAGAGGTCTTATTGCAACTATATCTTGCGCTAGTCAGGCCGCACCTCGATTATGCGGTTCAATTCTGGTGCCCCTATTATAGAATGGATATAAATTCACTAGAGTCGGTGTAACGAAGAATGACAAAAATGATTCCGAGACTTAGAAACCTTCCATATCAGGATAGGTTAAAGAAACTTAACTTGCATTCCCTAGAAAGACGAAGAGTGCTGGGAGATATGATAGAAGTATTTAAGTGGGTGAAAGGAATCAATAAAGGGGATGTAGATAAAGTTCTTATAATATCCGAGCAGGATAGGACTCGGAACAACGGATTCAAGTTGGATAAGCTTAGGTTTAGGAGGGAGATAGGAAGAAACTGGTTCACAAATAGGGTGGTGGACGAGTGGAACAAGCTTAGCAACTTTGTAGTAAGTGCGGGAACTCTGGAAAGTTTCAAAAGGAGGCTAGATAGATTCATGGATGATAGAGAGTGGTAGTAACTCTCGATAGGAGCTGCTATGCACAGGCCAACCGGCCTATTGCAGACTCCTTATTTTCTTATGTTCTTATGTTCTTACAATCAAGCCGACCAAGCACTGAGAATCCATGGCCCAACCCAACACGCACCTGACGCTAACCTGACTCTGTTCTACCGCCTCCTAGCCGCGTCCAGGCGAGTTGCTGCTGCCTATTCTCTCCTCCTAAAATTCACTTCAATCCTCCCTTTATTCTTCCCCTGAGCCTCCTTCCCCCCTGTCACTAGCATTTCATTCGCCAGCCAGCCTTCGCCCTGAACGGACCTCTCTCCAGACCCTTCACTGCCAAGCCAGCCAGCCTGTCTCTTGCCGTTGACGACCGGAACGCTAACGACTACCTCACTAACTATTACTTTTACACTTGAGAAGCTCGTTCCAGACAACGCCCTTTCTGTGCTTCCCCACTGTTCAGGGGTGACTCCTGATCAGAGGCGGCCTTGATTGGGTGCTCTGTAACGGCTTCCTGCAGCGGACTTGGGCCGCGATCCCACTGGTGTTACTTGCACCAGTGGCTGCTTTCCTTTGATCTTCCTTCTTTTTCGCTCTGGCCTGGGGACCTGCACCCAAGAGGTGTATTAGTCCTTGGGTCCCCTCTGCGACTGTTCACCTCCACCCTAGGAGTTTTTGAACACGAAAGGGGGTAGGAGCAGAACCCATCCCTCCGCCGAGCCTTCCTGGGTAACCGTGGTTGCATTCCTTAATCCTCCACCCCCCCCCCCGGAATAGGTACACTATAAAGCTCACGCCTATAAGTGAGCACTTATCAACAATAGGGAAGTAGGTTCCCCTAACGGGGCTTATGGGTGAGTGACACAGGAACCACTCCACGACCACTCGACCAGCAAGTGGCGGTGGGGAGTGCTGTAATTCTTGTGTTAGGTTGCTCGCCTGGAATAGGTAGGGTGCCCGTAACTTTCGTCAAATCACAACAAGACTGATGCCACGGAGAACGACCAAAGCAAATGACTGGGACAACTGGAAACAGGATACGGGCACGCTCCCTCCAGGGGGCGTATCCGAAAAACGCAAGGAGGAACTGGGCATACTATTATGTGCCCAGTTAAATATCAAATTCGCCGCCTTGATTGAAGCAAAGGACTCATTCATAGTCCTTTGCCTGGAAGACAAGGACGTTGACAACATGTTCTCTGCCGACTCAACAAAGAAATTAAAAGGACGGGATTTTGAAACAGTAATACCACCACAATTACGTGCAATAAAATCCGTAGTTATGAAAAGGGTAGATAGAAACATACTGAACGAAACACCAAGCTACATTGCTAACAATATAGAAGAGAGGAACCCATGGGCTAGAGTTGAAGAGGTGGTGCTCCTACCATGATGAAAGTCAGGTTTGGAGAGATCTCCATGGCACAAAAAGCCCTACTACCTATCAAAACAACAAATTGAGCAGGAGGAATTTTACTCAATAACACCGTGTTGGAACTGCTACAAATACAATCATCTAGCAATAAACAGTCCCCAA